GGCTCCAGAAGCCGTGCGTCTGGCAGGTGTTCACCCGAGGTCAGCGGTGGGTGACGGGCAGAGGTAATGACATGCGTTCCTACCAAGACAGGCTGTGAAATAGGGGCAGGCAAGAGAAGCTGCCAGAACAGGGCAGTTCTGGAACGGATTCAGACCTCCCCCCTGCAGGAGGGCACTCCTTTCTTCAAGGTCATCAGTACCGGCTTCCTCTGGAGGGGGCACCGCTCAGGCTGGGCTTGATGCCCCCACCTCTCTCTGCAACACGTGACTGGGTGTGGTTCTTCCCTAGCCACCTGTGGTCCTACAGCTGTGCTTCTGGGCAGCTACACTCTCAACCAGCCATACCCTGCAGCCCGAAGGGAGCGGGGGACCAGGCTCGGAGGAGCAGTGGAGACGCTGCCCCGCCCATCCCCGCCCTGCACAGATGTGCACGCTTCTGTCTGGTCTCTTGCTCGGCGTGTTGTGTGCAGCATCTTGACCAGTTAAGGACAATGTGGTTTAAACGTCCATCTCTACCTCCCCGTCTGACCACAGGCTCCCAGGTAGGTAGGAGCCATCACTGAGCACAGATCTTACCAGACTCTTCCCCGATGAAGAGAAGGGCCTCGAACTGGCGAAATGATGGGTTTCCTGGAATGCTCCATCCCATTTAGCACTGTGAGCCTCTGACGAAGGACAGTGGTCCTGGCCACCCTCAGCCCAAGGCCTGTGGGACACGGTTGGGCCTGGGTGGTAGCCGGCTGTGTTAAGGGACAGTTAAAGAGGCTGAATCTGGGGAGAAAGGGTATGTGGCGCTCACATTGTACCCCGTCTTCTGAGCACAGTTGAGAGTGACGGATCCTGTGCTGTGGGGTGCTGGCTGGGCTCTCCTTGGAAAGTTTCTCATGCTGGTTTTGACCAAGGGTTTCTGGATGAATTAGAAGTGGTCCATGTGGGTGCCTCAGATGCAGGTCAGGGAGCCCGTGGGAACCAGGCCGCCGCAGGGACACGGCCTGAGCCGTCCTCAGAGAGAGAGGCTGCCATGCATTGTCTGGAGTCCAGAACGCACAGGGCCCCAGCCGCCTCTCTCCCCAGGTTGGGCCTCCTGTCCCAGGACACTCCCCACGTCCCCTAGGTGCAGCTTCGCTTCAGTCCAGCAGTAGCATTGACTCCCTGGGGTGTGAACATATTTCTAGGACAGCATCCGGATCTTCAGAGAAGAAGAAACCCACCCCTGCACCTTCTGGCTAACCTCAAGCCCACTACTGGCCTGAGGGAACCCCTGGCCCCTCAATGAAATGACCATAAGCCATATCTCCCCGCGGAAACTCCCCAGTGCTTATGGCCAAGGTGGCATACGTGATGTGCCTTGCAAACTCCAGAACCTGCTCAGTCATCACAACTGCCCCTTCTCGGTGAAGGGGGTCGTGGGGAGTGCGGAGAAAGGAAGATCAAGGGCCACCAAAAACCAAAGTGAGGACAAAGCTGACCGAAACACGGCCGGAGTGGCGCGCACTCCAATAGAGGGGCCGGTGGGCAGAGGGCGAGCGGCTCCACCCTGGGGCTCAGCGTGGAGTGTGTGGGAGACTGGAGGGCTCTGACATGGGGAGGCGGGGCTGACGGGGGCCTCCCCTGGCTGGCCCTCCCTGGGAGTGATGGAGGGACTTCATTGCTCTTCCCGAAGTGCTCCATGATCCGCACATCGGGAGGGAGGGAGCTTGAGCCCCTGGCAACGCGCCTTCTCCTCCTCCGGGAAGAGGAAGGGGCCTGCCTGCCAATGTCCAGCCAGAGGCCAGTTAATGCCCACTGCGAGCAACACCCAGCTCCTGTGGGCTCCAGGATGGGGTTGTGAGCGGTGAGGGCGAGCAGGTGCTAGCCCCGGGGCCTGGGAGGCGCAGTCCCATCGCCGATGGCGGCTGTGCAAGTGGCACCGACTTCTCTGGGGATGCCAGAGAGACGACAGCATCTCCTTCAGTGATGCGGCCCGCGAAGCAGGCAGGGCTGGGAAGGCCCAGTTCTGGTTCCAGCCCCAGCCTTTAACTCACAACATGATCCACACACAATTCTGACGCTGACGGAGGCTCAGTTACAGCATGGACTGCGAGAAGCACACCCAGCCATCGCCCTTACTCTCGGGGAGCCCCAGGGCTACCATGGGGTGGGAGCGTCCCTTTCACCAGACCTGGGCCTGTGCCCTGGATGGGGGCCGGGGGCTGGAGCCAAACAGGGAGGGATTCCACCGGAGACAGCTCAGCACTTTGCCTCCAGCACAGCCTCGGGGGCCACGGGCAGGTCACAGCCCCCGAACATTTCTCCTCTTCTGAAGGAGGTTTCTCTGGGTGCCTGAAACCAACGCTGGTGTTCCCAGGCACGTGAGTGCGTGGCCCGCATGGGAATGGGGTTGAGCTGGGCCTATCTGCAGCAGGAGGAGGCCAACCTGTAAACTATGCCTCAAAAACAGTCACGTGGTACCTTTGACACGTTTAGCACACTCTCTCGGGCTTTGCAAGGCAACGGGGGTCTGTGTAGGAAGTCCCTGAAACCCCTTCCCTGGGAATGGTCCCTGGGAACAGCAGGCGGCTGGAAGCAGCCTCAGGCCTGGTCTGGTGGCTCAGGCTTCCTCGACGGCGGTTGGGTGGGGCCTTCTTCAACTAAACTCAATGGGGTGAAAGGGGAGTATGAGGCACACGTGCCACCAGGCCCCAGGTGGCACCTCCTGATTCAGCGTGGTGTCTGCATCTCCGTCACAGGGGACAGGACTCAGGGCTCAGGCGGCGTTCCAAGAAGGGAGATCACTCTGGACGGGAGCCTGTCTTGTGGTTTTGTCCCATGGACTGGGGGCTGTGCTCCGTAGAAAAATTAAAACACACTTTTTCTCCTGGTTCAAGCCACTCCCCCCTACCCCCCATAAAGGGCAGGTTTATGAAGCACAGAGCTCCACCGGGTCCAGGGGACCCCATGACCCAACTGTGGAGCCCCCAGTTCTGCATGACACTGACAATGGTCTCAGTCTCTGTGGGTGACCACATCCAGGGTGGGCCTGGGCAGCCTGCAGCAGGACAGTGGCCTGTCTCTCTCCTTGGGGCCTCTGGGAGGTGGCCAGGGGATGGCCTCTCTGGCTTTGAGCATTGATGAGCACAGCCCTTTCCTGAAGCCACAGACTTTTCTGAGATCCAGTTGGTCAGCCCTGCTCCTTCCTCTCTCGGCGTTGACCAAGCCTCTGGCCGGCCGTCTTGGCTCTAGATTCGAGGGTGAAAAGCACAGACAAGAGGGCAGTTAAGGCCTGCCCGCTGGCCGAGCTCAGCCCCCAGCATTTGAGGCTAATCTCCCTGGGGCCTGTCCAGCCCCAGGCCCAGGGGGATAAAGCACCTGGTGGCCTGGTCTCTTGCCAGTTCTCCTGGTGGGGGACCATCCCGGGTCTCTGTTGAGGTGTTCACCTTTTTCTGTCTCATTCTTTTTTTTTCACTTATAGCCACTTTCCAAACCGCAATTTCAGAAAAAAGAAACATAAAATCCCCAATTGGTTAGAATTCTCAACATTTAAAAATATGACTTACTGTTATTACAGCTGAGCCCGGGCCCTTTCGCCAGAGTTTTGGAACGCGGCAGCCAGGTCCTCTCACCCGGCCTGCGTGGGCATTGCGGGCACTCTGGGCTCCATGCTTGTAATTTGAAAAGGCAGTAGTAATTTTAAGGAAAGGGGAAATAAAAACCCCTGGATTTGATACCATTTCTCATTTTATTTTTCATATATTAGTTTCAATCTTGGTCTCTATTTTTATGGAAACGATGTTACACTTTATACCTGTGACTCTGTGGGGCACTTGTGACCCAGAAGGGAAAATCTCATTTGTACAGCTAATTTGTCAGTTTGCGTAGCTTAGAAAGCGCTCTGGGACCTGTCACTGAGACGCTGCCCCCCTGGAGTAGAACTTGGTGGGTTTTCAGAGGAGACGCCATCCAGGCAAAATGCTACAGCTCTCCAGAGCTGAGCCAGGGAAGGGTCCAAGTTGAAACCTTCGGGTAGAAGAAAGATCCAAAACGGCTGGCACTTTCTCTCCTTACTCTGCTAAGCCTGTGTCCACGGGCAGAGGGAAGGGCAGGAGTTCCTGGTGCCGCCCACAGCCCACTGCTGGAGGAGGGTCATCGAAGGCCACCCCAGGGCATGTCCGTGACACTGGGCACCACTGCTTTTCTGCCTTAGCCTGATTCCTTCTGAGAAGCTTCCTCCAAAACTCGTGGAGAAACATCTCCCTCCCATGAGTCTGGGACAAAGAACAAGCTAAGATGCTGCCCCTCTGGTTTGCCAAAACAGAGGCAGGAGAGAGAGGACATCAGAGTCCCCTCTCACCCCTCCAGCATCCGTCAGGCCTTGCTGACCTCTGCCCACCTCTACCCTCTGCTCTTGCCTCCTCCACAGTGGCTCTCCTCGGGGCATGGCTTGACCGAGTCCCAGGGTGAATCTGGTCGCTCACCTGAGCTTGGTCTCCCCAGCTAGACCACAAGCCCCATGTGGGCTGGACTGTGCCCCCTCCTGCTCACCCCTCCTGGCCTGCACACCACACACACAAAGTCCTCTCTGAATACAGGCTGCTCTATTTGCTGGGAGAACTCAGAGGAAGCAAGGAGAGAATTGGTTACGTTTCGAAACGTCCTCGAGCCCCATTGAGCTGTGTCTAATAACGTGTGCTGGCCTTGAGATACCTCTGTGTGGGTCTGTGCCCAGATACTAAAGGACAAGGGTGAGCCACATCGAGTGGCTCTGTCCCGATAGGGACCCCAGCTGCCTTTCCAGGGAGGCGACATCCTGGGGGGTTCCTTCCCGTTCTCAACAAACAGGGAGACACTTCAGGATAAAGGACCCCAGTTCTCAACAGAGAGCTTTCTCTAATATGGAGAAGCCACTAGGTCTGACCCTCATTATGTCGAGAACATTTGATCTGCCCCATGATTTATAGCCCCCATAGCTTAAGAAGGGTGTTTTGTCAGAAACTAACAACCCCTTTCAAATTGTTTTGCAGCAAATGCTGACTGATGCGGAAGTGTCGTCACAGGAGGGCTGCATCCAAAAGGTAGGCCAGCCGGTTCTGTGCCTTGTCCTCTCGCCGTCCCCTGTGCGTGCCTGAGCTGATGCGTGTTTAGGCAGGTCCGTGAGCGATGCGTTGTCTGCAGCCCCACGCACGCATGGAACAGCGATCCCGATGTAATTAGGACGGTTGCTTATTTTCATTGTGTAAGCAGGTAGGGGGTCACTTCACTGAACCTCCTAATTTCTGAGAACCTAGGAGAGCCCTGTACCTGTGGGAATGCCTCAGGCCATGCAGATGCATGAAATTAAATAAACGCGGGTTGTGTTTATTTAACTATCTTCACTGGATACTCACATGAAAGGAATATGTAGAGGAAAAAAAACACAATTGGCTGCAGATTCAACAAAACCTTTTGCTCTACTCGGCCTCCAAAGAGGGCTCAGGCACAGCGTTGAATAAGCAAACCATTAGGCGAGAGAGGGAGTGTCAGCGTGGGCATCGTCGGCCGCTCAGCCGCTGTGATGGATGACGGCTGGCTGACAAACATTGGCTCTGAAAGATCCAGAGAGCAAACGAGGCCCCCAAAAATACACACATCCCCAGAGGAAAGCACAGGAACACAGGCGGGTATGTACCTGCATGTACACGCTGTAGGCTGGGCCGCTGGTGGAAGGGACCAGATCAAGATCCAGATTCAGATCTCCAAAACCCGGGAGCAGTCCATCAGCTGGAGCTCAGCTGCCATCGAGTTCTGGTCATCCCTGAGCAGGCACACACACAGACACACACGACATACGAGCACAAACACCGACACACATGTGCACAGAGAAACACACACAACACACGGGCACAGACACACACGTGCACACACAAACACATGACACACGAGCACGTACACACACAGAGACACACATGTGCACGCACAGACACACACAACACACGGACACAAACACAGACACACATGTGCACACAAACATACACGACACACGAGTTCATACACACACAGACACACACATGCACGCACAAACACACAAGACACATGAGCACATACACACACACAGACACCCCACACACATACACGGTAGCTGACCTGGTATTTGGGGCTTTCCAGGAAAATTAAAATAGCGCTCTTTCTTAGGGTCTTTGCTTCAAAGCACCACCCGGACAAAGCAGGGTCGCATCCACGCGTGTACCCAGACAGCGTCGGAGCACAGCCGGGCTGTTGGGAGCGATGAGTCAGAACCGGCTTATCCAGCTTCTCTCGAGGACTGTGTTCTTAATGTGAAGTCACAGAATGCGTGCTCCTCTCGTAGGAGAGCCTGAAGCCACGACTTGAGCTGAGCATTCAAGTCGTGTAAAGTCCCCTTCCTCGCACCCGAGGTGAACAGTTCTGCCAAACTTTACCAAGTTCTCTCTGAGTCCAGCTCGGTTTGAGCCGAGGCTTCTGGGCAGGGTTTTCCATACAGGACAGGGGGCGGGGCACCTACCATTTGGGCAGACCTATCTATAAGGGACAGGCAACTGGCCCCTTCTGGCCAGGTTCAACCCCAGAGGCATTGATTTTGGAGAAAACGCTGCAATGGGAGACATTTCTGACCCTGTGACAACCTCCTGAGGGACCTCTGGCAGGAGCGACCTTTTTACCTCATTCGGCCCCATAACTCATGGTCTGTGTCAGTCCCCGAGGGGTCTTTTGGTCTGAGCAGACACTGGGACAAGTTGTCCACTCCCATCCCACTGCCCGGGGGTGGCCTGAGGCCTCCTTCCTCAAAATGCTCTGATTGCCCTCTAGGGTAAATCCTGATGGCATCCTTTTCCCCTTTTCCTGCCTCTGTGAATGAATTCACATTTTCTTAAAGAATGTAAGACAGCAAGACACCATACACAGCTCTCCCGCGTCTCAAGGAATGGAGGTGTTATCACTTCCCACGAAAGGGCACCTGCAGTCAGCTCCAGTCTCAACGCCTTGAGAGAACGTGAGAACTTCATTTTCCCACCACAGTCACAGGACTGACCGTCGGTCCCTGGGCGGGGCTTTCTGCAGACAGTGGGGCAACCTGGCGGGAGGTTAGAGGTGGGATGGGCAGTCGGTGGTCCAGCCAGGGTACAGGGGTCAAGGCAGGAGGCCAAAAGGTCAAGTCTGATGTAGAGGTCATCCGGAGGCAAGTGCTGCACGCTTTAGAGCCAGAACAAGATGAGATGGGACAGGAACAAGGGTCGGCTCATCCTCTGTGCCCTGGAGTTGTGCTGTTTCCTGAGTTGCCTCTCTCATTTATAAACCGCGGGCCATCAGACCTTGGCTGATGTGGCCCAGAGGTCCTTCTTGAAAGCGGATGAGTACAATGTACCGTCCAGCCAGGGACCAGCTCACAACTGCCCAGCTTGGGGCAGGAGTCCCATCGCACGCAGGCCCTTGTGAGGTTCGTCGGAGGGGTCCGAGGTTCCCTCTCCACACAGAATTGGAACAGACCTGACCCCCATAGCAGCCTGAGTGTCAGGGAGGCCAGCGTTGGGCACCAGAGCCGAAGAGAGCCTTGGTGCCATCTGTTTCAGAACAGGCCTCTTGACTCCCAGCTCGGCCCTTCTCCCTGCAGGCTGCAGTCTAAGGGGGGGCAGCCTGGAGGGGGCTCTGCCCACCTCCTCTAGCACACGTCTCCCCACTCTGAGAAGCTGCCGCATAGCACTCCATAGTCCGTCCATTGAATCCCAGGATTTTTCCATTCTCGCACTGAACTTAGACATTATAGGCGTCTGGGGCATCCAAGTGTGATGGGATGGGCGCCCAAGGTCACGTTGGTGGCATGATCGAAAACCTAAACCTGGGGCTTAGATCTGGACCCGGCCGGTTACGTCGCTCTGGGAGGGAGGGAGGGAGGAGACTGCACTGAGAGAGAGACATGAGCTAAAAGCCAGAGGCAAATGGTTCATACAGGGGCTGGAAAGACTAGTAAATGCAGCTTTCATTTGACCTTTCTAAACAGAAGGTCCCACCTGACGAATAGACGTGTTCCTTACAGCTTTGGAGAGAGATGTATATGTTTATCACGTAACTGTACGTCCCTCAGCCTGCTATTTTACAGACTAATGTAGTGAATTTCTCGGTAATGGGATGCAGACTCCGGTTTATCAGTTTTTAGTCTGGGATTTTTGTGTCTGGCTGAAGAGGGCCTCTCCTCCCAGAAGATACGCACATTTCGGAGCCTTAAAAACATGACGGGGAAGCACTGGGGGCGGCCTTGGGTTGGTCAGTTGACATCTCAGAGCTTCAGTTATTCCATCTTTAGGATGATTGTACTTCCTGTTCTTTATCTGCATCAGTGAAATGTAACAACAGTAATTAATTCAATCAGTGGCTTGACACAAGAGATGCAGGAAAGGTGGTATTTTGTGGGGAAGTCGCAGTTATACATTCTCAGTACTAGAGAGCCAGGTCGCTGACGGGGCTGTAAAGACCCACTAGTTCAGAGTTTACAGGCGAGGTTGCCCAGGCCAAGGAGGCCAGCGGCGCCCACAGCCGCCTGCAAGCCTCCCGCGGGATTCCGACAGAGACCCGGCAGGTATGCGGCTCGGGGCGGGGCTCTCGTTGGAGTGACAGCGGCTGCAGCCTGTGAGCGGCGCCAGGCTTGGCCCCGCTTCCAGAAGGGGCGGGGCCTCCCGGCTCAGCTAGGAATGGCCCCGCCCCTGAGTACCCTCCAAACCCCCTCCCCTCCTGCGCCCGTCTGTCCGGTCCTCTCCATCCCTCGCGTCCCAGTCTCTCGCGTCTCTCGGTCCCTTCCGTCCCCCCAGTCTCCCGTGTGCCCTCTGCAGTCCACCGCATCCCTCTTCCATCCGTCTCGTCCCCAAATTCTTGCATCCTCCTCCGTCTCCCACGGCCCCCTGGCCCCAAGCCGGCTCCGCAGCCTGCGCGGCCGCGCAGCCCCAAGCTCTGACGCCGATGCGACTCGGACCCGTGCTCGCCCGGTCCCGGTGCCCTCGCATCGCCGCGCCCGCCCCGGTGTGCGCCCAGGGCGCATCGCCCGCGCTTCCTCCACAGCCACTTTGGCTGCAGGTCGGGCTGCGTCGGCTTTTCTAGCAGCAGTGCCGGGACCTCTGGGACTGCTCTCTCCGGCCGAGTCTATTTAGTCTCTGTTTACTTAGAGGGAAAGCCCCGGGCTCCTGGAGAGCAAACATCTGCGGGAGATAATCTAGCGCGTTGTCCATCCATCACTCGGGTCGCCCGGCTCCCTGGAGAGCCCGCCAGAGTCTGTAATAAAAAGGCCGGGCGAAGAGGCTTTGGGGACGAATAAAGAGCCGTGTTAAGGGCCCGCTGAAAATGGATGGAAGACATTATTAAGGCTCAATGGCCGTCTTATCAAAATCCAATAGGATAGACATTTGGCAAAAGGCTTAAATTTATTCTTTGACTTTCTGGAGGGCTTGAATTTATCCGTTAACAAGAGTGTAGTCCACCCGGGGAGATGGTATCAGCTAAAAGAATTTTGATTCAATCTCTTTGGTGATATGAAAAGGGAAACACAAGGCCCCAACAGCCTTCCCTTTGTCCCACTTTATCTTGTTTTCCTTGACCATCTTGAAAAGGAAGGACGTGTTAATACAGTACAACGGGGAGAAAATGCAAACAAAGGGAAGTGACTTTTTCCTTTATTTTTATTTATCTTCTCCTCTCCTTGTCCACTCTCCCTCCCCCCAAAAAATAAATAAATCGGCTATCCGCATCAGTAGGGCTAGGACAGAGGACTGAAAAGGGTACCTCTTCCGAAGCTTGGAAGACGGTAGCTGCCCCAGCCAGCACGCTCGGGGAGGGGTGAGGAGTGTGGGGAGGGCCCAGGCTTAGAAGGAGAGTCAAAAATAAATGGAGCTAATAAAGTCCTACGGCTGGGAGAGGGAAGATGATGGGTCCATAAATCTCACCCCTGTTATTACGTACAAAATGCTACAGGTCATAAAAGTCATCTGATAGCCCACCTGGCATTGTCCAAACAGGATGATTGATTGATAATGATGATAATTTGTGAAATGATTATTTGGATGTTAGAAGCGTG